AATTCTCTCCGGGGTATCTACCTTGGGAATGAGTACGATGACAGTGTCGTTCCAACCATCCGGGATTACCTTATTATTGACTGCATTCAGAACCTCACTGGTAAGAGCACCCCCTAGGATATTCCAGCATTTCTTGAAAAATATAGCATGCAATCCATCAGTCCCAGGCGCCTTCATGTCTCTAATAGAAAAAAGAGCTTTCTTAACCTCCTCTGCAGTATAAGGTTTCAGCAAGGCTTCATTCATCTCACTGGTAACTCTTGGATTTACCTTCTCAAGGAACACCGGGTCAGGCTCATCAATCTCTGTGGAGAAGAGTCCCACAAAATAATCTGAAATAAATGGATTCAGATAGTCAGTTCCCTCCAGCCATGCGCCTTGATCATCTCGTAGTTTGGTGATCCTATTCCGTAGCCTTCTAGCAGAGGCAAAATTGTGGAAATACGAAGTATTTTTGTCACCAAACATGAGCCAGTTGATCCGGCTCCTTTGGGCCCAGTGAATCTCTTCAATCTGAAGTAGTTTCTCAAGTTCTTCGGCCAAATCTTTCTGCCTTTGAGCATTCTGGTGTGTCCAAGTATCCCTTGCAACTTGCTCCAACTCTCTCTGTACATTCTTTATTTTCCTTGATGACTTTTTCAATACTGTTTTATCCCATACGTGCAACTGTTTATGTACCAAAGCAAGCTTTTCCGCAAGTCCCATATTCCCTTCTGTAGACTGCCAGGCTTGTTCGACCATTCTATAGGTACAATCTTTAGTTCCTATGGGCAAATCCCATTATGCACTGATGGCAAGTCGATATGTATCCCCAGCGCAATTTTCCAGGTTCTTTGTTGCTTAAGGAGTCCACCATTTTTTGCCATGGCAAATTTTAGCGTGCATGGCCTCCATCCAACAATTCATGCTTTTTTGCTCACATGTCAGCTTTAACTTTTTTTGCACGATGGCAAATATGCTTCATGCACCATGCGAATTTCTTATTTTCAATCATGGAAAATCTAATTCTTGGACCATGGCAAAATATTTTCTCATATTATGGTGTCTTTTTGCTTCATGTGACCGTGGTATTTTCTAATACGTTGCTACAAATTATAGTTTACTTAGCAGTTTTGTGACAAATAACTTGCGTGGATTAGTCATATGGCAATTATTTCAAAAAAGTGTGTGTCATTCATCATAGCAAAATTTTCTAAACATTTTTGGGGTTATTTTCACACAAAAAAATGTATGAAAATGTTACCCTTTGAAGAACATGGCAATTTAACTTCATAGCATGCTAAATTACATTTATTGCCATTGAAATTTTACTTTTTATTTGGCATCGAAATGTCTTACTTTTATTACCATGGCAAAATTAACTTTTTTATTTGCCATGGCTATTCAACTTTTATCAGCATGACAATTTTACCTTTTATCTTCCATGGAAAAACTAATTTAACACTACTAGGAAATACCTTATAGATAGATGCTTAGCAGTAACGTGCAGTATAAACCCTGCGCTACTACTAAGTGGTCTCCATCGTGCCCCCCCCCGGACAAGCCGTAGTAGTATCACGGGCTATAAACACACGTTACTACTATGTTGATAGTAGTAGCGCGGGGTATAAACCCGACGCTACTACTAAGTGGTCTCCACCATACCCCCAAGATAGGCCATAGTAGTATTGTGGGGTATAAACCCAACGCTACTACTATCGACCGACCAACATATGTATACACATAGCGCACAGAGGCCCAAACCCAGACCCACACTCTCTCGATTCCCTTTCTCCCTCCCACCAGCGATGCCCTTCCTCACCCACCGCCACTGTCGGGCTCGCACCTCGACATGTCCCCCAAATCCGGCGACCACCTCTCCCGCCGCAGCCCCCTCCCCTACCCCTCCTTCCTCCTCCTTCTCCGCTGCTGGAAGGATAGGGAGATCCAGCAGAGCGTCGTCCATGGCGATGGCCAGATCTGTCATGGACCCAACCACTTGCACTTCCTCGTCGGGACAGGGCCTCGTGAGGACATGAGGTCCTAGCAAAAGCAGTAGCAGGTCACCGGGCGTCGTCTAGGGTTTCGGGCGTCAGCTCCAACTCTCTATCTATCTCTCTTCCTCTTCTAATCCTTTTCTCTTTTTTTGTAGAAGCAGTAAAGGAGAGGTGTGGGGAAGAGTTGGATTGGAAAGCACAATAACCATGAACGACTTCATCCCCTCCAGGATCAACATCAGCCATCGATGGAGAGGATGATGACGCCCAACCGCAGCAACCATGGCTGGGATTTAATTTTTTAGTTCCTGCAGCAAACAGCGATCGGAGCCTATGGAGGGAACTCGTGGGTGACAGTCTTGGGGACTCCCGGGCTGATTCCCATGAGCTGGGGGTACAGGGGAACGAGGCGGGGCTTTGCGACAAGCTAGCAGACCTTGGGGTGTTTTCCGGCCATGAGGACTCGAGAAGACGAGGGGCGGCTATGGCAGAAGCAACAGTTGGTCAAATACTGCTTTGACCATGGCCAGGTCAGCAAACTACGTGAGCAAACCATCAAAGACGATTTTTGAACGGTATTGGAAAGTTTAGGTGGTTAAGAGAGCAGAAAAAATGATCAGGGGGTCACGTGAACCACCCATTTTCTTGAAGGTAGTAAAATGGACTTTTTTCTTAAAAGAAAAAGAGATGACATAACTGAAGTAGAGGAAGAGTGGAAGACCATGTATTGCCCTTGCTTGAATTGGAACAACAACAGCCTGAACATATCTTCTAGCTCAATCTTGTGAAATATCCTTATGAATCATAATTTGGAAAAAAAATATTGGGCTCTCCTTTAGTCCGGCCTGCCCAACTTTTTATTTCAAGCTCCGCTGGTGGCTGGATGTGAAGCAAAGCAAAAGGGGAACTGGAAGTTGGACTCGGCTGGCCATCCCCTCCACCGCCCGCCATCCGTTCGACGAGATGCCGCCTACCCTCCTCCTTAGCATTAGGTGGCTCTGTACACATAGGAGACGGTTGTGCATACAGGAGGAGGGTGGGCGTCCTGCGCAAGTTCTAATGCACACCAACATGCTATAATGGTTGGCTATTAGTGCCTCTTATGAGGTTGTGCAGGTCTGTTCATGGGAGGGATCCAGGAGTATATATGTTCAAGCAGGTGTGGTCCGAATGCAACCGGTAGTTTGCAAGCTGGAAAAATCCTTGAGGCAACGATGGTTAAAAAAGAAAAAAAAATAGGCAACAAACAGATGATACTGAAGCATTGCTTTCTTTTAGGGAAACAGTATATGGATAATGATGTCCACAGTTTCTTTCAATTTGTTATTCAGGATGGTGAGTTGGTGGCGGATGGTGGCTGGTTATCCTTGACCTTTTGGAAGGCAGCAGCACCATATTCGCTCATTAGTCAAACTACAAGACATGGGTGGGTTTTCTTGTGTGGGGTATGTGATGGCGTCGCTTCTATCTCTATGAATTTTATATATCGTGTTTTTTTTGTTTGAACAGACTGCTGTTTATAATGTAAATGCGTGCCTATTTCTCGAAGTACATGTTCCTGCCACAACTTTATTCTAAATGATCATGCATCTCGTACTATAAGTTCATTATTATTCAGTCAAAGTCTGCTTCCAATTATTGCTCAAGTTCGTTTTTCATGGTCTCGGATTATGCATCTGACTTTAATTAAGGCCCACTCTGTCCTTTTATTCTTGATTATTCTTGTGAACCTGTTCCTCCAGCCTCGCAGCCTTTCCTTCTGGCACACGGTATAGTTGGGACGATGTTGTAACTCCTGTCAGAATAGTCATCACAATTTGAGCATAGAAAATGGCAAATCTGCTGGTACAAAACAAGCTCTAGTAGTGACAGGTTATTAATGTATAATATCCTGATTTGAGTTTGACCTAATCTTTCATTCAAGCTGCAGAGGCCTTGGGGTAACGCACAGGGACCTTTTAACCTGTGATGTGCCAGCGCCTCCCTCCCTGGGTTCTTCAAGTCTGGGCGCATCAATGGGCATTTCGGAGAAGTCATGGCCTCATGGGTAATTTTGTGAGGACTGTGGTGTGGCGCTGGAGTCTGGAGGGAAGTTTGCAGGAAGCGCATGGCGGATTAGCTATGCTGACTGTTTCGGTCACTAAGGCATGATGAGCTGATGATCACCCGACTGGCCGGTCTGTGACTGATTTCCTGAAGGTACACCACATTTGATGAGATTGAAGCATTGCTTTCTTTAGGGAAACAATATGTAGATAATAATGTCTACAGTATCCTTCAGTTTGTTGTTATTCAGGATGATGAATCGGTGGCTGATGGTTATAGGCTATCCTTGGCATTTTGGAAGGCAGCATCGTATTCAGACTGCATTACGCAAACTATCTCTATGAATTTATATATTGTGTTTTTTTGCTGTTTGAACAGACTGCTGTTTATATTGTAAAGGTGTGACCTATTGGTCGAAGTACATGTTCACACCACAACTTCATTCTAAGTGATCATGGATCTCGTATGTTAGTTCATTATTCAGTGAAAAGTTAGGTTTCAGTTATTGTTAGAGTTCGTGTTTCGTGGTCTCAATGGATTTCTATGCATCTGATCTCAATTAAGGCCCACCCTGTTCTTAGTTTTTGTTCATGATTATGTTTTAGCTTCAGAGCGTTTCTCTCTTGCACGCGATATAGTAGGGAGCTAGGGATGATGTTGTAACTTGCCAGAACAGTCATTCTCAGTTGAGCATAGAAAATGACAAGTCTGCTTATCTAAAATAAAGTCTAGTAGTGACAGGTTGTTAATGTATTATATCCTTGACTTGAATTTAACCGTTCATTCAACATTTCTGTTAGCTGGCCCTAGGATTGATAAGCACGTTGACCATATTGTTCCACCCAATAAGCACCCTGAACAGCCATTCAAGTTAGCATAAGAAGAGCTGAACTTCCAGTACATCTTCACCATCTCCTTCCCAATCTTGCTCTCTGAGGTTCAAGGTCTCTGGAGGTTATCCCTGCTGCAACTAGTGCCATGGATCCCAAACAGATGGTGCATATGAATCAAGGACAAGAGGAAACTAGCTATGCTCGCAACCATAGTAGCCGGAAACGGGGAACAGTGGGCCATCCCTCGATCCGGATTCATCGACCCGGAGTCAGATTCGGGAACGAGGGTCGATTCGGTAAGATTCGATGCGGATTCGGCGTTTCCGCAGTCGGATCGTCGATTCAGGTTCGGCGACTCGACAATATTGGTTCTTGAATCGACCGAGTAAGCAAAAGGTTAGCCATATCAATCACGAACTCCTCGTTTTACTCCCTGCCCCGTTCTTTTCCACTCCCCTAAATAACTTCTCGTTCTGCTCTCCAATTACTCCAAGGCTGCTAATAAATTTTTCATTGGGAAGGAGATGATATATTTTAGTCTTCATGAATCGACGATGCAGCCAGTTGCTCCCAGCCCAGCCAGTTCCATGTATAAGTACTCCCTCGGTCCCTCCCAGCCAGTTGCTCCTCGCATCCGTAAAGATTCACGTTCCTCGTTCCATGGTACCGTACCAGATTCATTGTACCGGAATTGATTGGATCGCGTTTCCGCTTTAGAAAAATCGTTCTAGAGATGTATACCCCTACTGTACCCTATTTTTTCCAGCCCCCGACTCTCGTCCCCCGTTCCTGTTCCTCGTTCCCACCGTACCGAAAACATGGCAACTATGCTCGCAACTCCAGTATTCAGGTATACCTTCTCTCTTGATCGATTCAGTACTGTTATTTCTATGGTCCCTTCTGAAACTTGGCTTCTGAAGACTGTCTCGTCAAGAATTTGTTCATATTATATCTTATACTATTACTGACAACTAAACTAAACACCATAAATAAAGAATAATATTGGGAAAGACTTAACTGGATTTCTGAAGAAGTACAAGTCGAGTGCAGAATGCTGCGCAGAACAGGATGAAGCCCCTGATAGAAGCGGCAATCGTTGATGTATGCAGCAACACCAGCACCTTGTCTTGCGGAAAGGTGGTGATCATGGACTTGGGCTGCTCCTCTGGTCCAAATGCGGTGGCATTGGTGTCAATCACCCTTGAGGCCACCCACAGCCACTTTCTTCAGTTGCAGCAGCCACCTCCGGAAGTCTGTGTACTCCTGAATGATCTCCCATACAATGACTTCAACGTGGTGGTGAAGAGCCTGGTTCCGCTCCGTAAAATGAACGAGCCTGTTGTTGTAACTGGTGTTGTACCAGGGTCATTCTACGAGAGGCTCTTCCCTGGTGGATCCTTGCATCTTATCTGCTCATCCAACATCCTTAATTGGCTCTCAAAGGTGTGTAAATTCGGCACTCCACTCCAACAGCCTTCATTCCTTCATTATCTGATTCTTTAGAGGTACAGGCTCCTCGAGATTTAATGATGAACCAAATCCCGGCGTACGACATCGATGAACATGTCAGGCGTGAAAGACTCACGGTGGTTGCTGGAGCTTATGCAAGACAGTTCAGGAAAGATTTCACACTTTTCTTGGAGCTGAGAGCCAAAGAATTGGTCCCTAAAGGCAGGATGGTTGTTTCCCTTGCTGGGAGGCGTTCTGATGAACTCATAAACGAAAGCTCTCACGTCTGGGGAACTGTAGCTCAGATTTTAGCCATCATGGCCTCAGAGGTACATACACGTCCTTACGTTTCAAACGTTTTATCATTGTAGCAATCGTGTAATTGTTTGACATCTCGAGTTTCTCTTTTGGATCACTAACAGGGTGCGATTGACAAAGCAAAGTTTGATTCTTTCTACATACCAGTATATGGGCCTTCCCTTGAAGAGCTGAGGGAAATCATCCAGGAAGATGGTTCCTTCTCAGTCACCGAGATGCAGGCGCACGAGCCTACAAGCGGCATGGACTATGCATGCCTCACCCTAAACATGATTGCGAATAGTTTGAGAGCTATATATGAGCCGATAATAGACCAACATTTTGGATCCTCTGGAGAGGTCATGGATGAGTTTGTGAGGACCGCGGAGAAGTATTTGAACCTGCAAGGTGGCTCTCAAGTCAAGCAGACCAAAAACCCGATAGTTATGCTGGTTGTATCGCTCACCAAGGCATGACATGGCAACTGGCGTGTTATTGCTTAGCTTGTATCACTCATCAATTCATAAACTCGATTGGATTTTTGAGAGACGAAAAGAAAGATATCTTCTGTAATAATATTTTCATTGTTTGAGCCAAGTATCTGTCTTTTTTTTTCTTATCTCACAATGCATTTGAGTATATTATTGAAGTTATTCAGAGGTATAGGATATTCTCTCATATTTTTTTCGAAAAGGGGATACCCCGGCTTCTGCATCAGATCGATGCATACGGTCATCTTATTAAACCAAATAAGTTCCAACAAAGTCTCAAAGTCTCCTACTGAAAAGTGAACAAAGCGCACACAGAGCCAACATGGGCTAGAAACACAGACTAGCCATATAAAAGACGCCACAACCGGCTGGCTGAAAAAGAGATAGGTAAACTAATTGCCTATCCTATTACATGATCGCCATCCAAACCGGTTGAAGATATCCCGAGCTACCATCTCCCATCGGATAGATCCAGTAACCAAACGCTCCCTGGCCTCCGTCGGAGTGAGTAGCGACCACGAACGGATCAACGCCGTGGCTCTGAAAATAACCTGCAAAAAATAAATATGTGTTGTCCTGTTAAAAACCAAATCATTTATGCAATTCCAGAGCGCCCACACAAAGGCACAGACTCCTACACGAATATGTCTCGCTAACTCGGGCTCTACCCCGTTAAGCCACGTTCCAAATAACGTGTTGACTGAATTCGGTGGAGTAATATTAAAAGCAATATGGATCGTCCTCCATAAAACTTTAGCTAGCGGGCAATCAAGAAAAAGGTGTTTGATCGTCTCATCCCGATCACAGAAACTACACCTAGTAGATCCTGTCCAATTACGCTTTGTCAAGTTGTCCTTCGTTAAAATAACTTGTTTATGCAGAAACCACATAAACACTTTGATTTTCAAAGGGACTTTGACAGCCCAAACATGTTTGGAACTAGGAATCGAGCTTGAATTGATAACATCAACATACATTGATTTAACAGTAAAAACTCCAGACCTAGTAAGCTTTCAGCATAATTCATCTGGTTGTTGGGAAAGCTGAATGTCCATCAGTCTCCTTACTAGATGCAGCCATTCTTCCCAAGATTACCCACTAATGCCCTTCTGAACTGAATATTAAGGGGGATCGATTGTAATACCGTGGCAACAAAAGTCTCACGTCTTTGAACTATACGATACAAAGACGGGTATTGGATTGCTAAGGGTGTCTCTCCGAGCCAACTATTCTCCCAGAATCGCGTACTGGCACCGTCACCAACAATAAACTTTGTCCTATTAAATAAGGACAACTTTACTTTCATAAGCCCTTTCCAAAAGGGTGAATCAGTCGGTCTTACTGTCACCTGAGACAGAGTTTTGGTTTGAAGATACTTGCTACGGAGGATTTGCGCCCAAGTGGCGTCAGTTCCACTTGATAACTTCCACAACCACTTGCTGAGAAGACAACTGTTCTTAACTTCAAGATTCTCAATACCAAGACCCCATTGGTCTTTCGGTCTACAGATGATATCCCATTTGGCTAACCGGTATTTTCTTTTAATCTCATCACCTTGCCAGAAGAAACGCGATCGATAGAAGTCCAGTCTTTTCCTAACTCCAACTGGGACTTTGAAGAACGACAAAAGAAACATAGGCATACTCGTGAGAACCGAATTTATCAGAATTAAACGGCCTCCGTACGACATGAGCTTGCCCTTCCAGCAACTCAGTTTCTTTTCAAATCGATCCTCGATGCACTTCCACTCTGTGTTTGTCAGCTTACGATGGTGGATTGGTATTCCTAAGTACGTGAAAGGCAAAGCCCCCAAATCACACCCGAACAATTGCCTATAAGCCTCTTGTTCATCATTGGCTCTACCAAAGCAGAACAACTCGCTTTTGTGAAAGTTAATTTTTAACCCGGTCAATTGTTCAAATAAGCATAACACCAGCTTCATGTTTCTCGCCTTTTCCAAGCCATGCTCCATAAAGATGATTGTATCATCAGCATATTGGAGGATGGACACACCTCCATCAACTAGATGAGGTACCAGGCCACCCACTTAACCAGCCTCCTTGTCCCTTCCTATTAGAATTGCCAACATATCCACTACAATGTTAAACAAGATAGGGGACATCGGATCCCCTTGTCGCAGGCCCTTTGTGTCTGGAAATAATGACCGATCTCATCATTCACTTTGATTCCAACACTCCCTTTTTGCGTATATGACTCAACCTGGCGTCGCCAGATTTCATCAAAGCCTTTCATACGCAACGCCTGTTGTAGGAATGGCCATTTAACTTTATCATACGCTTTCTCGAAATCCACCTTAAAGATGACTCCATCCAACTTTTTCGAGTGAATTTCATGGAGCGTTTCATGCAGGACCACCACCCCTTCTAGAATGTTCCTGTCCGGCATGAAAGCAGTTTGGGAATGCTGCACCACAGAATGCGCAATCTGTGTGAGCCGATTAGTCCCAACCTTGGTGAAAATTTTGAAACTAACATTGAGAAGGCAGATCGGCCTAAACTGCTCGATTCTCACAGCATCCGTTTTCTTAGGAAGCAGTGTTATTGTTCCAAAATTTAAGTGAAATAACTGAAGCTGTCCAGAGAAAAGATTGTGAAACATTGAAAGTAAATCCCCCTTAATAATGTGCCAACATCTCTTGTAAAACTCCACCGGGAATCCATCAGGCCCGGGAGCCTTATTGTTTTTCATCTGCGATATAGCATCAAACACCTCCTTCTCCGAGAATGGGGCAACCAGAATATCATTATCACGAGCAGTTAGTTGAGGCACATCCTCAATCCTGGACTCATCGAGGGATACAAAACTGTCCTCCGGAGGTCCAAATAGCTGCTTATAATATTCGGTGATATAAAATTTCAGGTTGTCCTGCCCTACAATCGTTCCTTCCTCTTGCTCAAGCTGAAAGATTCTCTTCTTTCTGTGTTTGCCATTAGCAATCAAGTGAAAGAATTGAGTGTTTGCGTCCCCCTGGACCACTCTGCGAACCTTAGCCCGCAACGCCCACTTCAATTCTTCCTCACGGAGAATTTCTTTCAACCTCATCTCCGCCTCGAGCTTAATCTGGAGCTCCGCAGATTGCAAAATCATGGACTCGGCTTTTATATCTAGGGCCTGAATCAGAGAAAGGAGCCTTTCCTTTTCAACTTTATAAACCCCACTAAGGTGCTTAGCCCATCCCCGTAGGAAACTTCTCAAATGCCTAATCTTGTTCTGCCAACGCTGGCAAGAGGTCGTGCCTCCTGCATCTTTAGCCCATTTCCTGGCTACCAGATCAAGGAAGCCTTCTCGTTCAAACCATGCAAGTTCGAAAGAAAAGGTGTTTTTGTTTCCCACGTGGTTTGGCCCACCTGAGTCCACAAATAAAGGTGTGTGATCCGAGATTCCGCGCGAGAGAGCCTGGACCGTTACGAGAGGGAACTTTTGTTCCCACTCGACACTCACGAGAACTCGATCCAGCTGCTCATACGTCGGGTTTGGCAACGCGTTAGCCCAGGTAAACTTTCTACCGGAAAGCTCTATCTCTCTCAGATCCAAGCTTTCAATAATGGTATTGAACATAAATGACCATCTTCCGTCAAAATTATCATTATTCTTTTCATCTCTCCTCCTAATGATATTGAAGTCACCCCCAACCAAAATTGGGAGCTGCTCGGATCCGCAAATTCGAACAAGGTCCGCCAAAAACTATGCCCACAACTCTGGTTTTGAGGTACCCTCTGTTCTTTTGACTTACGCATTGACTGTTTCTTTGGCCTCTTCTTTGTCACTTGACTCCTCTCATATGTTCATTTGTCGCAATATGACAGGGCGGAACAAGCTATGCCCACAACTCTGGTTTTGAGGTACCCTCTGTTCTTTTGACTTACGCATTAACTGTTTCTTTGGCCTCTTCTTTGTCACTTGACTCCTCAAAACTGTATGAGTGCTTAGAAGAACAGCACGAAGCCCCTCATGGAAGAGGCAATTGTTCATGTATGCAGCAGCACAAGCACCTTTTCATGCGGAAAGATGGTGATCGTGGACTTGGGCACTGGTGTCGATCGCCCTCAAGGCCAGCTGCTGCCACTTTCCTCAGTTGCAACAGCCACCTGTGGTGAAGTCAGTCTACTCCTCAATGATCTCCCATACAATGACTTCAGTTGCAACACCCACCTCTGGAGAGTCTGCTAGTTGCGCACATGCAAATCACAAGCCTGTTGTTCTACTAGCTGGTGTTGTACAAGGTCATTCCATGAGCGGCTTTTCCCTAGTGGCTTCGCGCATCTTTTCCAGACAATAGGAACAACAACTTCCAGTCAAATATCTCCTAGCCGATGAAATCTTAGTTACTTAGTTAAGATGCATGTCATATTTTGATGTTGGTTTGTTAACTCGAACAAGCTTGAAGTGTTACTAGTTGTTTTGAAGAGTATTAATTACCCAGTGAACTTGCATGCCTAAGGGTACAATGCACGCTTTATTTGCTTTTTATATTGGATTTATGCAAAACGCATCCATGGCAGCACAATTGGTGCCGTGGCTGCAAAATTGTAATTATCACGAATAAGCACCGCGGGCGAGCCACAACGCCCGCCATTGTAACATGTATAAGTAGTGGCGGGCAGGAAAGCACTGCCCTCCGCTAAAGAAAGATAATCAGTGGTGTGCAAGTTCGTGCGCCCGCCACTGCAGTGATCGACCAGTGGCGGACCACCCGCCCAACACTGATGACATAATAGCAGTGGCGGGAGGTCGATGGCGGGTGCCCCTGGGAGCCTTGCCCGCCATTGCTGGCCTCTTCCCACCCGCCACTGCTAGGCATTCCTGCAATAGTTTTGTCAGATCCATGGAGGTATTGATGATAATTTGTGGATGTGAGTTAGCGGCCACGACATCAGTTCACGGTGGAGGCAGCCCTGTGTAGGAGGAGGAGAGGCAGATGCGGCACGCATAGTGCGAGTACACGATGGAGGTGGTTTTCCTGGTTGCAGCTTGGGACGGGGCCTGGCAAAGAGACCGCGCGCTAGCTGGAGCGCGGAGTAGGCCTCCATCGCGGGCCTCCATCGCCATGTCATGTTTCCTTCACCCGGGCTCGTCTTGGGTGTGAGCCAGGCGAAGGAGGTCATGAGCTGGAATGCTTGGGTGAGCTATGTCATATGTGAGTAGTGGCGTATGGGAAGTTGGGAACCCTAGCTAGCCCGTTCGGGGAGAGAGGAGAAGACGGAGGCATGAGCAGTCGAGGTGAGAGAAGAAGACTGGGAACGTAGTTGGACGAAAAATGTGGTGGACCAAATAAACCGAGAGACGAAGGAGGTGCAGACAAAGGTTGGACGAAGATTGGGCTGGACGTGGCATCCTGGCAAGAAAGGGAACCTCAGGCTCTTTTTAGATAGTAGAGATAAAACCCAAATTGGAGGACACACATCTAACATCTTCAGACTTAAGACTGCATTTGGTACTGTGCCGTGGATTATGACAATCCTTTCCCTTTCTAATTCATCATTTGGTCGTAGGACTTAAGGTTGCTTTTGGCACCATGCTGTGGATTATGATAATCATTTCCCTTTCTAATTCATTATTTGACCTCAGGACTTAAGACTGGTTTTGGCACCATGTTGTGGATTATGATGTTCCTCTTATTATTTCTATTCTATCATTTGGCCAAACCATTTTTTTCTAGTTCCTTACCTATTTGTTTATAATATCGTAGGTATAAAAGAGATTTAACAGGACATTTCTCAGCAACCACATGATGAATCTAGGAATGGTTCGCCAGGAGCTCCTACTTCCCGTCAAAAGAAAATGAGTGCTTGCGCTCTTCCAACCATGGCCGACAAGTCTGGTCTAAAAGGTGCAAGGGGGTGGCCTTGTAAAGACTAATGAACACGAAAAATACTGGAGGACACAACTATTTATGCACTCATGTACCACTACTTACATTATTTATGTTCAATTATGTTTCAAATAACAGGCTCAAAAATAACTCTTGAGACATGCTTATCAACCATATGTTGCGGGCAATTAGCAGCGTAGTAGCAAGTTTTCACAACATCCATGAATGTTTGCTTTGTCTTCCTGTTACTGGTTGTATCATCGCACCTCTGGAGATGATATCGGGCAAGTTCTTGCATATCAAACTCAACTTCCTCATCAATGCGGTATATTATTTCCTGTTTTTTATCAGTGTCCTACAAATCACATCATTAGTCAAACGACTATAACATTTAAGCATCATAATAAAAAATATAATTTATCATCAAAGTTTCTCTGTCAAGTTGGGTGACCCATAGGCCTTAGGATGAAAAAATTCTATGTTGCCGCCAATGCAGATAGTTAGCCGACGACACATATATCACGCAAATTAGGGCTTAAAATACACGAATCTAGAGAAATACATAGGATATGACCCTACCTACTCAGCATATTACATCGACAAAGAACAAAAGTCTAGCTAAACCAGTTAAAACTATCTTACTCCCTCTTCCCATGCCCTAATCTGAAATTCCAACAAAGAAGGTGGATCATATCTGTATGACTTAATATGAAATTACTTTCCATTAGAGGAGGATGGGAGATATTAAGTTGTTAGTTGCTTTCTCTATTCCTGTGGAAATTCTCAATTTCTTACATTTCTATAAATACATAAGTTTTATGTGATCAAGGCAATAAAGTAAAAAATGTAAAGATAAAAGTTACCAGGCGTAACAAACTAAACTGGTTAGTTTTTATGCACATTAGAAGTATATGTTGTGCTTTATCATAACTCAATTTAATGTTGACTTCTTCTACTATCTGCATGTAATTATGCAGATATTCTCAAGTTATATATAATTATTAAAAACGTTCCATATGCACAGGGGCCATTTCATAGAAATAGTGGGTGGAGTTTAACAAATTTCCTCTCTTCCATATAAGGCATCCATCCTTATAACCACCTTATAGTCATTTATTATCTAAGGGTTCATGTTTATACTTCTGTTACTAACAGAAAACTTCATCTCTATTTAGTAGCTTCTCAGTCTGTCGGGTCAATGTAAGATAGGACATCGAAATTCTTAATTAAATAATTTGTATGACAATATGAAGGGCGTGTTTAATGTTGGCATTTGCGATCACATTGTTGAAATTAGCAGAAGACATAAATAAGTTATAAGCCAAAACCAGCACAGAAACCAAGCATTATTGTATACTTATAGACCAACATAGCAAGTGTAAAATAAAACAAAATATCATATGTTAGGCAGATCATATTAAAAAATAGATATATTGTTGATTTTTTTAAGTTCCACATCATAAACAAAAAATCGTATAATTGACTTAGTCTATAATCAAGTCTACACTACCGACCCGCCAAAGCCCAGTCGTGTTGTCGTGAGGAGAGGCAAAAGGAAGATCATCGGAATGGATGGAGTAGCCAATGAGCAAGACTTCGACAAGTACGGCGACCCGAGGATCGAACATGACGACGATGATGAAGTAGCAGCATACACCACAAGAAGAAGCAGGACCACCCTACCTAAAGGACGTCCGTTCCACAGAAGAACTCCATTTGCGAAAAAGAAGGGCAAGAAGATTGTGAACAGATAGCTAGCTAAGATCGATTGTATTTAAATCGTAGCCTTCATTTCTCGATTGTATTTCATGGGTACTTTTTGAACTATCATGAATATTTTTAAATTTCATGGACACTCGATCTCGATCCCCCTCCATCTCGATCGCTATCCCACCTCGCCAGATCCGGCCCCCCTCGCCGCCGAGCACCCCCCCAGTCCACCGGCCGCCGCCGCCGACCCCCCGCACCCTCGATTCCCCTACTCAACCGCCGTCGCCGCCGACCCCCCGCACCCTCGATTCCCCTATTTTTAAATGCTACTGTCTTATAAAAAAAATATTACTGTTATTATTTAAACAAGTTTGAACATATTTAAACATAAATAAGTATCAAACAGCTTTTTAAATGC